AATAATTAATTTTTTGTTAAAACATGTAGAATCATAAAACAATATATAAATAAAATACAAGTTTAGAAAATTATTCATATATTACAAACAGAATTAAAATTATACAAGTTCTAGACTCAGTATATAAAAAAATCAAATGTAACCTACATGCCCCCTAATTACATATTGTATCGTACTCTGCAAGCAAAGTCGAAGGAACTCCCAATATTGTAGTTGTTAGTTGCACTGGATCAATTCTTTTAACCTGAAATGGTTAGTAAAGAATGAGCTTTGGGAAGCTCAGTAATACAAAACTACTCAATGATGCTGAATGACATGCAGATAAATAACAAGCATAAAATTTCATTATTGATGCAGGCTTCTACAGGTTTTTGTGATGAGCTGAGGTTCCACTGCTATTTCTTCAAGTAAAAGACAAGAAGCTTACAGTTCAAAGAAAACGTTTAGAGTACCAGGTTCAGGAGATTGAAAATAAAAGTCTAGTGTGTTTTCTCAAAACCAAAATAAAATGTAATCATAGTTTAAAAACAATAGTAGTTTATTTGAGTAAACATGTTTTTAAAATCAATGTAGTTCCCTCCACCCGAACACTGATATGCAGTTCCCCAGAAGTGCGACCCTACCTGAGGGAATACCTTGGGGCCTTACAGCCTACCCAAGGGTAGCACCTTGGGGCCTGAGAGCCTACCCAAGGGAACATATCGAGGCCTAAAAGCCTACCCAAGGGTCACCTTAGTTCCGTAAGGATTTACCAACTTGATCAGAGCTGAACCTCCATACTCCAACCTACATGGATGGTGTCCCAATAAAACAGTTCAAGTAGCAAGTAGTAGTTCCATGATCCATACATAATGCATATTTCATTTTCCAGTAAAACAAGTAACTAGTAAATCAGTATATCAATCAATAAAAACAATCGTAAATCAACCATATATCAATTTATAATTTCAATACAAATAAAACAGTCATATAACACATAGGGAACACACTAGAAGATTCAGTTATTTTTCAAAGGTACTTGATCGTTATCAAGAAATGAAAAACGTAGAATTTCTGTAGATTGATCGGATTTCAGATACATGATCCCTATAAAAAGGATTCGATTACTAGCATATATAATCAGACATTCATGAATTGATGCTTCAGGACCATTTAGGATTTTAGGTGCATCAGAAAGGTATTCGAAAACCTTATATCAGAATCATTTAAGGTTTAGATATATTTGTAAAAAGTTAGCATTCATATAAATATATCAAGAGGGATTCCATTACTCGATATGCTCGGACATTTTTGTTACATTTAAATTCCTAAAGAATTATTGGTAACTTAATCCAATAATGGTAAACGATGATTGACGATATCCAGGATTTATATTGAATTATCTGAATTTTGAGTCAGATCAGACTAATCAGATCCCAACAGTACAATACATACCAATAATTCAGACCGAGACCCTTCACTAAGTTCTCTTCTTAATACTAATTGTACTAGCTGAACCAATCACATTCAGAATCATCATAGATCAATTCTCAAAGAGATAAATAAGTATTTCGATGGTATTATATATATTTCTGTATTGTATCAATATCAAGAATGCTAGACATGCCTGAGTCGTGCTCCATAACCTTTAGGGACGATACAACATTTAAGTTTATTGGTATTTCTAGAGTTTATCCAAAGACATTCACTTATTCCAAGTCATTAGGATATTTAGATCACTTTAACACTCAAGGTTACTTCAGTCATCTTAGAGTTCAAGGTATTCTAATATTTTTAGGGTTTAGGGGTATTTCAGTTATTTAAATATCGGAGGTTATTTTAGTTATTTCGCAGCTCGATGACATTTCGATAATTCTTTTCAATCCAAACATATGCATTTTTTCTGGTAATTTGGTCAAGTATGTCATTTTTGGGTTATTTTTCACTTTCAGAGGCAATCTTAGCTTTTTTACAATAAATGGCATTTTTTGTAATTTTACTCCATAGAATTATTGTTGTAATTTCTTAACCAAGTATTCTCGGTATTTAACCTTTAAAGAAATTAATCAAAATTTTGGATCATGAGGTCAATTTATTTACTAACTAATCACTAAACTTAGATTTGTTTCTGATCGGTCTACAAATTTCTTTTGTGAGCCGTCTGAGTCTTATACAATGTTCTACCTTTATTCCATATTCAGTTTAAGTCCAATGATAATTAAATACACCTAATTGACCAATCATTTTCATTCATGCATTTACCAATTATCAATGAGTTCTGAAAGAGCATACCAAAGGTAGTAGAGTATTATCTCGATTTACGAGCCACATCGATTAACCAATTAAACTTCATTTTATCGCCCTCAAACTTTAATTCCACGTCCCATAATGTATCAGACACATGGAAAAACCAATTACATTAGAAACGTAACTTAAACGTGAAAATTCGTATTGAATAAGAAGATGAAATGCCAAAAAAACAGCTTACCAAGTTCGAATTTAGCAAAACGGACTTTAGATTCGAACTTAGGACGTCGAAAAACATAAAATATGATTTTTTGAAAATTTTAACTTTAAGGTCAAATTCAACGGTCAAACAGGCCAAAGGTCAAAGTCAACGGGTCTAGTCAACGAGCATGTCAAAGTCAACATGTCAGATCGGTTTGAGTTGACTCAGGTCGGTTCGGGTTGACTCAAACCAGTTCGAGTTAACTCGAACCAGTTCCAGGAAGTTCCAAGATAGGGGAGGAGTCCCACGCACACGCGGTGACGCGTGGTGGCATGTGACGGCGGCGACGGGGTCGGTTTCGACGATCCAATCACTCCAAATGCATTACTACACTACAAGCAACCCAAAACAACATAAATAACGAGCCAAAACCACGTTGAAATAACTAACAAACGATCGAAAGTTTACCCCGTTAACATATAAAGAAACCGACGACAGTGGAATGACCCATTGGTTGGGTTTCTCTCGGAACAACGCGAGGAGTTCAAAGATATAGGTGGTGAGGCGAACAAACAGTCGGTGTGGTCGAAAATCGTCAAAAATAGAATGAGAGCTTTGGGTTTCCGTCGAACCTTCAATGAGCTCTCCACGACGAACGACGACGAGGCTCGGTGAGTGGGTCATTAGGTTATGACCGGACGAGGGAGACGTTTCCACGGGTAAGGGCAGTGACGGTCACTGGTGAGTCACGGTCGAGATCGGCGATATGTCCTTCAAGCGTCCTTTCCCTGTTTTGTGACGAACGACCATCGATCTGGGTGTTTAATGGTCAGGGACAGGGTCGCGAGACAGTGGCCATGTAGCTGGAGGTGGCGGGGTACTCCACTGCTGGCTGGAGGCAATTGAACGACGTTGGGGCTCGTCGGTGAAGAACATGTTTGGGGGACGATTTTGCAGAGGTTAAAACATTAGGGTGATTTTTTCTAGTGGAAAAAGAATGTATTTTGGGGGAAAAATGATCTAAAAACTGAAAATGTACTTTGAATATTTTAATACCAAATAGTGACATATCCTATTAGCAATGGCAATACATGCTATAGCACGTGGGTTCAAAACCCAAAACCCAAAAGCCTTGTTTCAATTCATTTCATTTATTCATTTTTTTGGCCAAATAACAATGGAAAAATCAGGCTTCAAGTCCATAAATTGTTCAGAGGCCTACGAATCAACTCAAGATTTGAAAAAAATTTACAATTTGATCCATCAAATGAAAATTAAAACAATTTAATTTTAGCTCTAATTATTGGGGAGTGACATGTCGTTAACATTTTTTTTGACAAATTTTAAATTCAATTCTAATACTATTTATTGGGGTGCGACATGTCGTTAACCTTTTTTTTGAGAACTTAATCAACTAACTAAAAGTGATTGTTTAATAAAGATTTAATTATAATATACATTATTTTATTTATATTATAATTAAATTTTAATTATATTATGTTCATATTATATTTATTTTAGAGAATAATTGGACATAGTTATACATGTATAATGCATAATATTATGACATAAAATAAAATGATAATTATACTATACATGTCATTATTATCAAAATATTAAATTATCAATATGTAGATATTATAAATTATATTTATAATTTAATAATTCTAAAAGTGATCAAAATAAATTAATAAAATTTAATAAAACTTTAACAATAGATTTAAATATACTTTCATGTTTATTATTTATTTATTTATTTTATGAATTAACACGATTCATTCGAATTATTATTTTTTATATAAATTATGTGATGTTTCAAACAGAAGTTACGATAGAATTTTTTTAATTAATCACTGGTATTTGATCTATTGATCAATTAATCCAGATCGGGTTCTACAGAGCCTCATTATAGAGTGACCCTCCCAACTCAATTTGCTCTATACGCAAACGCTAGGATTCGAACCCATTACTTTACTTAAGAATTTAGTGTCTCATCTCACTAGACCAATTAATTGTTGATAATTGTTTTTTAATTACAGTTTTTTATATTTTCCTTTTACAATCGTCCGGCACAATGTTTGCAAGAGAATTAAACGATTGAAATCATAGCTCTTAGGCCTTAGCCTCTTCCTTTCTTTTAATCCAATCGGATCCAAACAAAAGTATACTCAGATTCAAAGAGTACATCTAACTATAAGGTTAGATAGGAAGGGTATAATTATGTTTACTATTGTTGTAACAATAATATTGTATTTCAAAAATAAAATATTTAGCTTAAATACAATGTCCAAATCTCTCTCTTTCAATGGCATGCTTCTTTTTAATATAATAACTTTCTTAAATTATTTATAATTCCTTCAAAAAATTAAATAAAAAAATATTTTACACTTAAATACAAGCTAATCAAGGAAGATTTTGGGTATGAAATGAAACATAAACAGGTGAATGAGTGATATTTAGATAATTCATCATTATAGGTGATGAGATTTTTAAAAATAAATCAATGCATTTACTTACATTTATTTAAAACAAACTACTAATATACACACACACATTTAATATTAAAACGAACGGTAATTAATGGAAGTCTGAGTGTAAAATCAACCGTTGGAAGACTGTAATACGAGGATCAAGTGAAGAGCCTAAGACGATTAGTAATGCTTTGTCGGCATATTGGACAATTAGACACTCTTTGTCCACAATCCCTACAAGTCTGCCATCACAATTCATGTTTAATTATTTTAACTCTTCTTTTTAGAAAAAAATAAAAAGAAATATTAATTTAAGAGAATTTAAGGGATAAGAAAAGAAAAACACAAAGGAAATACTCACTGTATGCCCACAATTGAAGGCCAAGTCCTTCGTATTCGTGAGGCATATTGGGCATGCAGACTGCATTTACATTGCAATTGCAAACGGAATTAGTTATGAGGAAATTTTACTACATAAAATATAGATTACGTAAGGGATTCATTCATGACAATGATGTACACATTTCCATAATAATAAGGAAAGCAGACATGCATGCTACGATTCGTATGATACATACATACCTGCTGATCATCTGATGAAACCGCTGGCGATGCCGGTACATTGCTTGACGTACGCTGGGGCGGAGCAGGTCTCCGGTAGGAAACTGGGGGAGGTCGTGGAACTACCTTTTTAGCTTTTCCGGTTCGATGTCTTGATTTATTTGATGCAAATACATACAATAGTTGATGAGTAATTACAGGTATCACACTTGAGAATAAACTAAATTATTGAAGATTAGCTCACCCAAGACTGCCCAGTTCCATGCATGCTTTGTACTGAAAAGGGATCTCCATGAGAGCAGCAAGAGCAAAAGCAGTTTCCTTCTCTACTTGACTTGTATTTTTTGTCATAATCCCAGTGAAATTAACAAACTGCAAATGCATTTTAGAGGTAAAAAAACACATTACATGTCATCCGATTAATTAGTTTGATGTAGTTATCAGACAAGTTTTGCTTCTAGCTCGATTGAAACCTGGAAGTTGTCGAATTCACGCGACGGAATCTTATCATCGAATTTCTTCATATCTTCCCAAGGTCCATCACCAACACCAACCAGAACAATCGCCAGTGGGTATAAGCTGGAATGTGTGAACGAAAACAAGAATAAGGATAAATTCCTCCGCTTTAACACTATTGAATCTACATATGCGTTCTTCAACATGCGTACTTATTGACAACGTGCATCTTATTTGTTCGTGATACTGCTTTAATGGTCACATTAGATGTATTCAAAACTCAGAATTAAAGCCTAAATCAATAAAAGTAAATCGATACATGGATAAGGTACTACCTTGCGTTAACAACTGCACTGATTGTTTGCTCTTCTTGTGGACTCAGCTCTCCGTCACTTGTACTAGAGCTTCGTGTGACCTTCGTCATTGACACGAAACAAAATCAAATTCAGAGATACATTCAGTGAGTGTGCGAGAGAGGACGAATGAATGAAAAACAGAGGCAAAGTTGCTCATAGAAGGAGAAAAGTTAAGGCATGGGATATAGGACCTGGCCATCTGCAATGATAACTAACACATGGAATTGGCCACTACTGTTTTCAACAATGTCAACAGCAGCATCGATTACCGGTGCGTAAGATGTTGGTCCTACACCACAGCATATATGCTTGATGCATTAGGATTCGGAATAAACGAATTATTCATGATACAATGCCGATATTGACATGTTAAAATTGTCAAGTCCATGGAATAGATGCCAGTTACCAGCTAGCCTCAAGTTTGGAACAGTCTTTCTGTAGCAATCTAAGACTTCCTCAAATCCATGGCAAGACGAACGATCGGTGTGAAAGCTAAACACCTCCGTATCATGCGTGGTGGCTGTGACATTCGAACCAGCAACTCGATTAGATCAAAAGATAAAAGGTAAAGGAGGAAAGATCAACAGTCAGAGCAGACATCGTACCGTCACCAAAGCCGAAACAAGGTATCAAGTTGTCTTCATCGAAAGGAGCCAGGGTCTTTCCAATAATCGTGATAGCTTGCTCATATGGATTTGGCGTGTCACCAATGGCATGTAGACTCCGGTTGTTGAATGATACTTTGCCTTCAATAGAAACATGGATGTATTGGCTTCCCTGATACCAATTCAGAAAAGTCTGGAAAAAAAAAACATGGATCGTTAGATTGGTGGAAACTAACCTGTCCATTCATTGCTTTTGGTGAAATCGATCCCAAGGATGAGATTAGATGACTCTAAACCAGCTTCCCTTAAAGCTCTTGTAACCTGCAGTAAAAAGAAGAGCTCATTCAGAACTTACGAAATATCAAGATCAAACATGCTGAATCATACTGAATCTCATCTGACCAATAGTATACACACCAACCATGTTTCATTCATTCATTTAAGCTATCTGTTCTAAATACTCTCAATCATATGATAATGAACGCTTAATCACCCTCCTACAGTCATTAGTGCTCGAACCTATAACCTCCAAAAACAACAACAATTCCTTTAACTACTGAGATAAGTCAGTTCGTGCAATTGAACACAAATACAAATAAGATATATTGACTCATTTACGAAGGAATCTAACATAAATAAGATATATTGAGTGTATTTATGTTTATATTAAATCTTGCTCGTGTTTATTTAAAATTCGTTTAAATGAACTAACCAAACAATCGTGGTGGTAAAATGAATTGTTGTTATTCCTTGAGATTATGGATTCGAGTACTATAAATGTCAGGAGTGTGAGCATTCAATATTAAATGATTGAAAGTTATCTTAAATAGATATTATCTTGTACTTACATCATGTTTTCATGTCAATAAGAAAAAAAAAACTCATTTAAATTATTCCAAAAAACCCATTTAAAGCTTGTTCAATGTTCGATTATCATATAATTAATAAATTTATTATTGTTTGTGTTTTAATTTACACGTTTACAAACATATCTACTAATATTTCATTTTATATTTTCTTTTCCAATTTTATTTTATTTTTTGGTAATTTTCAATTAAAAACTTTCAGAAAAGTCGTCTAAAATTTTTACTCAAGACACTAAAAGAAAAGCAAGCGTGAATCCATCATTTTAGATTTTTTTTAATACTTTCAATTAAAGGTTAATTACAAAATATATATTTTGGTTAATTCTTATGATAAAATTATTTTAGAAAAGCTTACATAATTATTAAATTAATATTACAATTTAAAATTCTTCTCTAAAGCTTGATTTTTATTTTTGTTGCTGACTTTACAATCCAAGTCTTAAAACATGTCTGCATCATAGATACCGTGATTAATAAATTGAAATATTTTATTATATTCCACAGCAAAAAAATATTTTATTAGATTTTAAAATATGTAATGAAAAACAAAATTAGAAAATGAACTTAAAGATATGGTTGACTTGGAAATTTGGGGCATATTGCACCAAAAGTGGTAGCGCGCGAATTTAAAAAAATAGTTATTATAAGATAATATCATATTATTATTAAAAAGTTATAATTTTTTAGACATTCATCATTAAAAAATTAATAATATTAATGATGTGTTATCCTAAGATAATATCACGTTATTATTAAAAAATTAAAAAGATACCATATTAGAAATTATATTAATTTTTTAACGATAAATGACCAAAAAATAAAATTATGTATAATTTAAAATTTAATAATAACTGATGTAACTAAAATAGAATAAAAGTAATAATTGGAATACTAAACGTGAAGTTTACCTTTTGTTTGTTTTTTTTTTTTGGGTTTGTTTTGCTTGAGAAATAATGAGTATTCCGACAGAAAAAAAAAATGTCATTATTAGGCTTATTGATACTAGCTTAGCTAATTATACGCCTTTCAAAATATATTCGACAAAAACAATAAATTAAAAAAAAAACTGGAGTTAACGAATTCGAGGAAGAAAAAGGAACCTGGTCAAGGGTTGAGAAATTATCTAGTATAAGCCTATACTTGTCCTTCGTAGATTGCTTTCTGGGTAGCTTGGAAGCTTTACTAGGATTATTAATGATTTGAGAAGTGCTTCCCTCTCCGTAAGAAGGAAGTCGTGGTTCTGCGTCGGCCATGGGTCGCACCGTCGGATAGCGATCGGATGTTCTTCCGGTTAACGTTTTAAAAAATTGCAGATGCTTCCGCTTCTGTTTAGCAAGAAAATTACCCATCTCATCTTCTTCTTTGATAAATTGTTTTATTTATATGATTTATTGGAAACAAAAAGAACAAAGAAGAAGCAAAGTAGTTGAGAATATAAAGAAAGAATCCAAAATACGCGCTGCTTTCGGAATTTCAAGTTTAATTTGCTTGATAAATCAAAGGAAAGCAACCCCTAAATATTCGATGTCGCGCTACGCATGAAAAGCGAAAAGAATCAATCAGTTCTTTTCATACAAACAACACAAGATGCTGACTTAAAATTATATTAATGTTACGTTTTCTTATAGGAGACAAACGGGTACAATTTTATAGATTTTGTATCGTATTTGCTCTAATTTGGGCAAGAATGGGTATAATTTTAGTGGGTAGTGGGTGTGTGTAGATTTAGAAAGTAGTACCGGGTTGTGGGCGGGTAATGAGTTTGACACCTTACCAGCCCCACATCCGTCCGGCCTACATCCGCCCGCTCAGCTAAATATCTATTACATTTTGGACATTATGAATTTAGGTGTAATTTTAAAGACTAATTTATAAATCCTAATATTGTACAAGATATAACTTGTTATTTAACCAAATATTAGGGATAAGTTAAGTTTATGCATAATTTTTTTTCTTTTCAAACCTCTCATTTTCATTACTGCGCCGATCTTCAAAGGCAGTCTGAGTTCTACATATTTATCAATTTCATATGTTACTATCAAGTTTCTGTCGATCTTCAAATGATGTTGGATTTTGTGGTGTTTTTGGTATAAAAGATTCACTGTTTTGGGATATTGGAAGGGATTGCATAATAAAATACTCCTTTTTTTAGTTAAAATGTCGAAATCTTATATCAATCTGCATGCATTGATACTAGTTGTAACAGTTCAAAACTTATCGAAATTGTGGAAACGTACTCAAATTTGGATTGGAATGGAGCTTAGACTACTTGATATCAGTTTAGGGCAAAATGAGTAACTACTAGTTTTATTTATGTGTTTGTTGCTTATGTATAACTTAAGTTTGCTGTCAAGCGAGTCTAGCCAGGTACATCTCTAATTGGATAGTGGGTGTGGGGATGGATTTGAGAATATACTCGCGTGGGCGGGTGTGGATTTGAAAATTTTTACCTATCATGGGTGATGGGCGGGTGTAGATTGAAAAATATTAGATGGGTATGAGGATGGGGGAGGGGGTATCCGTACCCGACCCGTCCGTTTGCCATCCCTACTTACTTATTTTGAAAAGAATCAATTTATTAGTTTTTATTACTAAAAAAAGAATATATTTTTTAAAATTTAATTTATTCAACAAAAAATAAGAATATTGATTTAACATTGAGGGTAAATTTTACATTTAGTACTTAAGCTATCAGTTTTGATCCATTTTAGTATCTAAACTTTTATTTTTTTTCTAAATTATTTCTAAGATTTAGTTTTTATTTCATGTTAGTACCATACTATTAAAAACTTAATACATTTAATACCTATTTTTTTTTCAAAATTTAACATTAAGTTTTAAACAAGGTACTAAAATAAAACAAAAATTAAACTTTAGGTATGATTTTGAAAATAAAATAAAATATTAGGTATTGAAATAAACTGATAATGTGATGTTAAACACGTAGTTTACCTTGATATTAAATTATATTTAATTTTTAATATCATTCATATATACTTTTTTTATTAATTAAAGATTATCACTGGATATTTTTAGATAAATTATCCGTTTGCTAAAATTATCTCTCTCTATATTGTATTATTTTTTTCATTTTATCTTTAACTTTTATTATTATTTTATTCTAATTTCTCTATTTTCAATTTTTTTTTTCAACTCAACCCAACCCATCGTTTACGTTTAGGATATAAATCATGGTGAATACATGTGGATATAAACATTCATGTGAACAAAATTTGTATACAAATATTGTAAAATTATATATTATATTGAAATAGCTTAGGTTAAAATAAAATAAAAAATAAGAATTTATTTATTGTTTATTTAAAATTTTCGATGAATCCAATGCTTTATCCATTTTCAAGGCTTTCTTTTTTAAATTTAAAACTATTCTCAAAGCTGAATACATGTGGCACTGCCACCCAAAATCCCACAACAAAAGGAAAGCAATACTTATTCGCTGGTCCGTACCTTTTCTTTTCTTTTCTATTTTCTATTTTAAATTTTATTAGTGTAAGAATATTGTATTTAAAAATAAATTAATAAAAGGGTAAACTACACAAATGATCACTAATATTTGAGTAAGTTTTTGTTTTTCCAATTAAAGTTTCAAAAGTAAGAAATCAGTCACTAACGCTATCGATTTATAACAAATAGGTCATTGGCCGTTAATAATGGTTACAACAGTAACAGAATGTTAACGTTACATGTTAAACCAACTGATCTAGTACCTACTTTAACAAATTCGGTACCCGAAGTTTCGGGTTGGCCGGTGTCTCGACCCGGTTTTTATTTTTTTAAATTATTAATTTTTTTAAAAAGTAAAACTTAATTATTAAAAAATATTATATTAATTATTAAACATAAATTTATTGGGTGCGTGTTTTTTTTAATTTTATTAGTTTAATTTAATATATAAAATTATTAATAATTAAATATATAATATTATAATATATAAAAAATAATTATAACCGGTATCTGGAAAAGCTAAATTTTGTGTCCGGTATGGTATTTTAAAAAAATATCAGGTTTTTTAGTTCGGGTCGTCCGCAGTGTATTTTTGAACACCCCTATTTGCCAATACAAATATACATTACAACAAACGAAAAATTACAAATTAAACTAGAAAAAGCTCAAACAGAAGACAACAAAGTTAAGTGAAAATCTCAAATACAAACAACAAATTAATAATCACGGTGAAAAGGAATTAAAATTAAGGATACTCAAGCTTCTATTACTTGATTCCCTTGTACTTTCTTCTTTTAATTTGTTTTCATGTATAAATGATTAATTGAGTTTTGCATTTCATCTTCGAATAGACAACAACTTAAGGGATGACTGGGGGCCTAGGGGGTGCGGTTCTTGCAGTCATCTTTGCTATCGTGTTCTTTATTGTGTTTGGGTCTGTAATTGCTTTTAAATGCACAGATAAGAAAGGTGATCAGCATAAGGAAGACTGGAGGAGGGTGCCAAAAAGGAAAAGGAAGATGGAGTTACGGTTGAAGATGGAGTTGAAGTTTTGGAAGCAGCCAAAGATATGGTTGAAGTCATTGCTAAAGTCAATGGCGACCAAGTAAAAGTTGGCTTTGAGGTCTGTTGTATTTTTTTTACATGATACTTGGCTATATGCATGTATTATATAGAAGAAGATGAAGGTGTATATGCATGTTATGATACATTTAGCTCTCGTGTTGTGTATTTTTTTATGTACATAAAGCTTTGTTTGGTAAGAACACAAACACACGCAGTCAATGGCGAATGTTGAGGGAGCTTACTATTGGTATTCACATTGGCAATGTTTCTATTATTCGATGTTAACAAAGCATAGGAATCACCCAGAAGCAAAAAAATGTAGGTGGAGGTTTCTAGTATCCAAATGACGAATGAACTTAAGGTGACAGAGGTAGATATTTCTGTTGAAAGAGAGGTTGATGGCAGTTTTTAACGGTGGAGAAAACAAAACAAGAGATGATGAAAAAGCTAAATAAGATAGGAGAGTCAAATGGCTGGTCAAAGGGTGTCCTACATGGTCAAACGTTGGTAAGTCAACTAATTTAACGTTAATGGTGGTTAATGGAGTGACCAGTTTGTTATAAATCAGTAACGTTAGTGATCAATTTGTTACTTTTGAAACTTTAGCAGGGAAATCTAAAATTTACTCAAACATTAGTGACCACTTGCATAGTTTACCCTTAATAAAATGAATTATTTTAGTTTTTATTCTTTAAGGCAGTTTTTTTTCCAAAAAATAAATCTTCTTGCTATTAATAAATTGTTTATTTCTTGTAGGCAGAATTTTTTCTTTCTTTTTCATTTTCTTTAAAATTGCTATTTTTTTTTAATTTTCTTCTTCAAAAGTGTTCGCTTCTTATCTACAGTAGTTTGTTGTTTATCTTGCGTTGCTTTTGGTTTTGTGTTTTGCTCCCTTCGATGGAAGCCGTTCTACTGGATAGTTGATAAAAATGGCGAGTATCAGAGGCGGACTCATCTGTTATCGAACAGGCTACTAATGATCCTGGCCTGAGGCCTGAGGGATCCGAAACTGACAATTGGCTACTTTGTGCGTAAACTCTTATGTCGGCGGCCAGTCAATATCGCATTTGCCCTCGAAACAGCTTGGTAATTATCACGCTCAACGATCACTCTCATTCCATTTAGTTCTATACTGAAACAACGTATCGTTGATTGGTTGTCCTCCATGGCGTTTTGACAAACATCTCATGGTTTTCGAACCTTATAAATGACAACTTGCGTAGAGATATAAATTCCAATGCGCTCTATGCAAATGACATCCTTCCCTCATTGGTCTAAAATGGTGGCTTGCCTCTCGTCCGTCGTTTATATAGCAGAGTATTCCAACATACGGAAACCTTTCAAGCCACTTCATCTTCTTCTTGGATACTCTCGGTTAGCCGTGGATATGATGATTAATTGTCTTTTGTTATGTTTTCATTGTATACAATCTGGTTTTCTCGTAGCAAGGTGGTATACGAGAGCCTTGCTCCTTCTAAAAATCTCTCGGCTGCTCATGTTTACTAATTGCCCTCAAACTTCACCCATGTAGAGGATTCTCACTTATTTCCTTCAACTGTTAGTGTTCTTAAGTTGAATTTTGATGGGGCATTTGACCATGATTCCTCTATTGGTGGTATTACGAGACATTTATGGTGTTATTCAACTAGCTTGTAGTTTGGCAGTCATCCGCCAATTGCGTTCTACTATGGCTCCCCGTGCAGCATGTTTTTCTCCCATCTTTTGGACTCGTCACATGATCCAATCAATACCGACCGTGTCCCTGACTCATGCTCTACGACCCACAAACCAAGTTGCAGATGTTCTAGCTGGTTTCGGAAAGACTTGGTCTTGTAAAATGCAGGGGTGAGACTGTCCCCTTCGCCCCAACAAGTTATTGCTCATTTGCTCTGATTTGTCTATCTTCATGCTTTATTTTGGTTTTACTTCTATGAATTTGTTATCTTCAGCTTTTAGAATTTTATATCCTTCTGTTAATTATAATCCCTTGACTTATCCAATAATAGATTTCACGTGATTTAATGTTTGAGTTTACTATCCAATAATCAGATATATTTACCTCACCA